GCGCTCCCCCCCCCCGCCTCCCACTTCCGTAGGTACTCGACCTTCTCATACCGATCTCCAATTAGCTCACAGGGTAATGTATTCGAAAATTTAAAAGGCAACCCTGTCACAACGACGATGGCCCGAGCGTTGACTACCCCCAATACTAGATTCTCGCAGTACAGGTACATTGCCAAGTAATAATATATTGGGGCAAGCCCATGGTGACCAGTCCCGGGGGTGATAAAGAGGAAGGGGAATCTGAGGCATGAGGCTGCATGGCTACCCCCAGGGAATACTTCCGGAACTGCTAATAATACCTTTGGGCATTCGTCGCGAGACAGCTCATAGGTAAGGCGTTCCGGTAATAATCCTTCAAATAGTACCACCCGTCTCCAGGCTCAGTCCCAGACCCCTAGAAAATGCGTGGCCCAAATCCCGGATTTTGGCCATCTGGGATAGAGCGGTGAAACAGTGAAAGAGCGTCGTATCTTCACCAATGTTGGCGGCGGTGCCCTACATACAGTAAAGGCTGAACCGGACTAAGGATGTCAAGGTAGGGAGGGTTGCCGACTCTCTACCTGGCCAATTTCTGGCTCTTGCTCGGGTATGGACGAGGGTGACCGGACAGCCAGGGATTAGAGATGTCAAAGCTTCCTACTTGTTCGAGAAATTCTCATGCAAGACTCACTCTTTTATTTCCTATGAGGGCAAGAACGGTCAGGCCTCTAGAATCCCTGGCTGTCCGGTCACCCACGTCCATACCTGAGTACTTGTATCCCTGTCCGCCAAATCAGGATCGTTAAATGATTCTAGTAAGATGTTTCATTGTGGAGAATTAGCCAAGATATGGGAGACTCGACCAAGAATGCTACTCCAGTACTGTATACCCAGCTCAGTCAGCTATGCTAGCCACTAATCTTTTGAAGGGAAAAAAGATGTAGGTTTGATTACTAATGTCGGCGACCTCTTTCATTCTAATGGCATGATAAGTTACATGTTCCCCTTATATTAATTTTAATCCCGCTCGATAACTTAACGGAATAGGTAAAGTAAGATGAATCGAGGGAAATGTTCAGGGCCTTGTCACCATTTCCCAATAATTCGACTTGATATATTATCAGATAGTTTCTCCGCTTTTGTCACCCATTCCCCCGCCCCCCCCCCCCCTCCCACCCTCGAGTACACAATCGCAGTCGGCGGTAGAACCGCAGTATTGGAAGCAAGCGTGGAGAGTGACGGCATTGAACTTTATTGGTAAATAGCGAGAGTAACGAGTTCCACATCACAAACTTCTACCGATCTAGTCCATCTTCCCCCTACAGATTTCCTTCCTCCCATCCCTCCCTACAGGCATAGTCATTCCGTTCGCCTCCAGCACCGAGACCAGCAGCCAATGAACCGAATCCTACAGAAACGGGAGCACAGTTCGAATATTGTTACCCCTCACCTGTCACTGTCCTGGATGGCCGAAATTCAAACAATCCGTCCCGCACAAGTGGCCCGGGATGGCAGGTAACCGAGGGTTTTGGTGTGGAAGGGGTTCGGGGGCGGTGTGCCTCATTTATGGTAGTGAAGCATCTAGTCCTACAAGACCCGTGACATCGCGGGGAGGTGCGAGGCGACGGTAGGGAGGCGCAGATATCCAACGTACTAGGAAGACAGGGTGGAGCAGTTGCAATCTCGGATGAAATTCTGGTCCTAGCTGGACCTTTCGGCAAATTGTTAACAGAATTAGAGGCACCGAGAAAGGGGCCAAAAGTACTGGGGCTGATTAAGTCTCTAACTTAACAATGACAAGAAATTTTTGAGAGTCTAAAAAAGGAAGATACCAATGAATCTAACCTTGAGATGAACTATGGAAAGCAAAAAACAGAACGGAGGTCAGCCCCATGTCACCGAACCTCTCACTTGGCAGATTGCAAGTGGTCTCCTGGGGGAAGATATACGGTACCTATGCGGGTGCGGCAAGGGATATCGGGGCTACCCCCGGACGTGCCGCAGAAAAAGAGGCAGTCTAACCTCCCGGAGATTGGCGGAGTAGCGCTAGATGTGGGCTGTAGAAAAGGAGAGGAAGAATAAGTGGAAAAGAGTTCAGAGCTCTATTCAGAGTTCTAAACTGTCTAACGCACCCACCCCTGGAGCAGGGCCGGATGGATCACGAGTGATGGTCACTCTAGATGGTACATACAATGCCCCAGAACATCCTTGTGCCCAAAAAAGCCTCACCGCTCTATAGGTACTGTGAGGGCAAAGTTTGCAACATGCATCATCACTCGTTATGCCCGCAGCCGTTCTAGATAGGAATTCTAGATACACCCGGGCACCGGTGGGCAGTGTACACATTCAAGTCGTGGCATTTGTAGCGCGCAAATATGGGAAGCATAACGGAGGTGGAGCGCGACTGAAATTCAGGTGACCGATAGCGTGCTCAATTTCCTAAATAGACTCAAGTGAAAACTGGACCCCCCAAGACCTCTTTAATCCCGGTGCGGAGCCCGGTGCAGACTCAATCGGCGACGCAGGTGCAACGGACAGAATGGGGGTATTAATTAATATCCGCGCACTGCAAACTTATGGAGAGGAGGGGAATGCCGAATAGCAATATCGAGTAGAGGGTAGTGGAAAGCGATACCAGTATGCGAGGTCGCGGCCAAATTTGTCAGGGCGGAAAGCCGAATGGGTTGGGGGGGGCTCGGAGCCGGATACAATACGAGCTGAAGAAACAGGGGCTAACTGCGATACAAAGAGAAGGCCCAATGCGATGGGAAAGGTCAGGCCAGAGATAGTAACGTTATTGACCTCCCAGTCAGGCTCGGTTCTATCACTGTGAGTCCGAAACCAGACTTGGAGGATTATGATCTGTTCAATATTGTTGAAATGTCGGAATCAGGGTGTGAGCAGAATGAAAAGGGGATTGGGGTGTCGTAGCCATTGTCACCAATGTTTCTCAAAGGGTTTTGTTTTTCTAGAAGGCAAGTTCTCCCGGTTGTTGAATTCCACCACTCTCAGTGGGAGAGTTAACCTGAACCGGTAATGTCTTCTCGGGGGAGAGAGGGGATTCAGGAAAACAGAAGGCCGGGAGAGCGGATGACGTTTGGGAAAACTGTAGCTGGTGGTCTCTACCGATCTAGCACCTAGCATCTGGAAAATGTGGCGGTTGAACATGCAAGGGTACTTGGTGGTGCTGCCGTGGAGTGGGTTCCGAACCTTCCGATATCAGGGTCCCAGGATAGGGAGAAAATTCTCTGGGGATTCCGGCCAAAGGCTGAATGGAAGCCGCGCGGGGAAGGTTGTTCTCGGGTATCCGCAGTTGAGTATTCTATCGAGATATGGCTCGTGCCAATCGCTCAACCCACCAGAGTGGGGGGGTGCCCCAGCTTCACCAAGGTTCATTGGCCGCTTAAGATCCCACCCGCTCGCCTGCAGTCATGGGTAGCGGTGTCGATACCAGTCCCAGGATAATGGAAGCATTGAGCTGTGCGGTTGAAAAAGGTATTTCCGGGTCTGTTCTGCGGGTGAAATAATTTTGGTGTGTACAAGGCCTCTTCACAAACAAAGCCGAAAGATTAACTCGAAAGCTGTCACTCCAAGAAACACTGTTTCGAGTCCGGCTGCTGGCGGGTAAACCAAATGATTAGTAAGCGAACATGTTTATTCTTGGCGGCGGCTCCGCGTGTCGCCCCGCCAGGGGAAATGGTGGATTCCTGTGCATATCAGTCTAAATTTACCTACGAATACCATTCGTAGAAAATAGTGGAAAAAGAATGAAAATGAAAATGAAAAAGGATTGAAAAAATGTCACGATTCACCACAAATGCATTTACCCCTCCTTTCTGCGGATTATTTTTCGAATTTTTCTCCCCCTTTTATAAAGGGCCAAAGGTGAGGAGATTCCTTCCATGGGTCTCACGAGTATCCCGAGAGTCTCGCGGCCAAAGACATTGTCTTAAAAAGGGCGACCCATCTGCGGATGCATGAAACATAGAGCCCCATCCGGCTCTGCGTAGTACTCGTACAAGTATTCGAGTGCCGGTACGGGTACACACGATACGGTACAGAACCGTACAGGTCTCAATTGGTCTACTACCGTATATCATACTCCTATCATAACCGCCATCATAAATCACAACAAGCCTCCTGTAGACTTATGGAGGTTGTTTAAAATTGGAGTCGGTGCGCATGTTACGCAATAGAGTGCCATAGTTAATTCTGCCCACCGAACGCCGACCATCCAACCGGAAACACGGAACCGGGCAAAGTGTCGAATTTTCCCACCCCAGAGACACGACAATGGCTTGGATGGTTACAAGAGAAAATTTGTTGATGGCGTACTGGCAGCGGCTGCAAATGAATCCGCTGCGATACCGGTACTCGGGGATGTTCATAGATATGAGGAAACAGGGCCCGCCTTCGAGGGATCTGCATGGGTCAGACGGGGTAGTTTTCTGATACTTATTCATACGGTACCTGCTTCAAGGTGAGTCAGGGTTAAAACTACAGTTTAGCGGGCGTCCCGGTACCATACGGCACAGTACGAGTGCCGCCGATAGATATATTCGTCACGTGAGTCTGATAAGAAAATTTCGGTGCACCTTTTAGCTGCGATGTGTCCTTAGATAAGGCACGTGACGAATATATTTATCGGCCGCACGCGTACACACGGATTAACCAACCGCATTTCAACTGTACGGTACGGTACGGCACATTATCAGAACTTTTCTCCTTAGTATGATACAAGTACTTGTATCTGTGTGAACACGAACTTATTACTAAGTACTCGTTCTATTGAAAAACGAGACGTGTAGCGAGAAAATTATCGCACCTGATTCGCAATCCATCAAGCGAAGGAAATCGGATCTTTTAATGGGACCAAAGCCTGAACATGGAGGCAAGTCTACGAGTAATGGTTGGCTTACAGTCGTTGCGCCCGGGACCGGGCGTTCAGCTGCTGTGTGAATGTGCAAGCGCTGTAATTTGGGAGCCCCGCTCTCAGAGATCTGGAAAAAAAATTCTCTGCCGAGATACCCTCCACAAGAAGCTGCTGTCTCCCACTTCATCTTGCAATCTACAGTCGAAAAGAATAATTCATACGTAGACTATCGGAAGTCACAGGGACTGTCTACCTCAAAGTTGAGCGCCGATTTTTGTCCATCTTTCACTGCCGCTACTAAAAGATAGCGATATAACAGAGCCACACCCTTACACTTTCCCTCTCGAGCCAACAAAATTCGTGAGAAAAGAAATGGCAGAGCCCTTCTCCGTGGCTGCCAGCGGCTTGGCCCTCATTCACCTCGGCGTGAAGGTTTACCAGCTTTGCGATGACTACTGCGATGTAGTCAAGGAGAGCCAACAAGATTTCAAGAAATTGGGAGATGAAATCAGGAGTATTGACAAACAGTTGAAGGAAATACGGAGCCTTGCTACGCAGGGAGATGAGAACAACCCGCGATATCCCGAGCTCCTTGAGTGGACGAAAAACGAAAGTTTGAAAGGCTATCAGACTACCCTAGAGGAGTTGAAGGACAAGTTAGATGTCCCGGGATGGAGGAAATCCTCCAGGAAATTACTTTGGCCAGTTCACAAGCCAAAAATGGAGCGCTACCTAGGCTTGGTTGCGGAGCAGAGATCAAAGCTTCAATTGTTGCTAAACACCGCCACAACGTAGGTTACCCATTCCTCGGTGCCCTGAGAATCTAACTTCCCCACTTGCTCTTCACTTCTTTTTTTTTTTTTTTTTTTTCCCAGTTGGTAGACTAATGGGTTTCTTAGGAAGACGGTAACAAAGATGTCGCGAAAACAAGATGGTACTTGGTCACATTATCCCTAACCCTGCCGATTATTTTCTTTACTAATATCTGACATTTCTAAAACCGCAGAGAGTGAATTTCGGGAAGTACAGAGATGGCTTAACGTCGTTGATCCTGCTACCAATTTTTCATCTGCACTTGCTGTTCGTGAACCCGGGACGGGGAATTGGCTTCTGGAGGGACGTGATTATAAGTACTGGAGGGAAGGTAGTGGGGGCGTTCTCTGGCTTCATGGAATACGTGAGTCTATGGATGAGGAAAATCTTATGCTCCGAAAAATCAACTAACATTTGTGTCTTGTAGCTGGATGCGGCAAGAGTGTCCTGAGGTGCGAACCTAATCGCATGTCCGGAGGTGCAATATAACTTCTTTTACTAACTAACACTTCAGTGCTACCGTCATCGAAGATATCCAAAGCCTATGCAGCATGAGCGATGATCATGCTTTGGCCTATTTTTACTTTACTTTCAGTGACTCGCAAAAGCAAAACCTGGCCAATATGCTCCTATCTCTCATTGGCCAACTACTCCGAGCGCGTTCCGACCTGGTCTTACCCGATGAGATTATGAAATTGTATCATAACTCCAAGGCAATTGGAACGTCACCCAATATAAAAGATCTGCGAACCGTATTTTCACGCATCGCGAAGCTTTCTAAAAAGGCCTTTATTATTTTAGATGCCTTGGACGAATTCCCCAAGGAGACACGGGGGAGTGTCCTATCCTGGATTGGCGAGCTTACGGTGGATCATGATGCGGGATCGCTGCCCATTCTCGTCACTAGCCGTCCCGAGGCGGATATAGTGGGATCCTTAGAACCGCTTACCACTTTTGCAATATCCCTGCAATCCGGGATTATTGATGCAGATATCCGCGCATATATACAGAACTCTTTAGACGGCAAGGATGGCTTCAAGAAATTTACCAAGGAAATTAGATGTGAGATAGAGGACACACTCGTTTCTCGTGCACAAGGAATGTATGTTACACTCAATTTTCCAATCTTCAACTTAGGCTGATACAAGGTTTGATATGTGAAGGTTCCGATGGGTAGATTGCCTTTTACGAATTCTCCAGGAATGCATAACGCCAAAAGCTGTTAGAGGCGCCTTGAAGGAACTGCCGAAAGACTTAGATTCTGTCTACTTAAGGATCCTTGACAGCATTCATGAGACACAGAGGGAATACATTCAGCGTGCGATGCATTGGCTCTCGTTTTCGGCTAAACCATTGACCTTAGGCCAACTTGCGGAGGCAGTTGTGATCGAATCCGATGTCAACAATTACGGCGAAGATCCAGAAACTCTTTTTGAGATACATTCCCTCATGAGCATTTGCCCAAGTCTTATTTCCTTCGAAGATGCGAGGGACGATCAATCCTCCGCCAAGGAAACCCGGCTATTACGACTAGCGCATTTTTCGGTAAAGGAATATTTGATCTCCGACCGGGCAGCTCAGGGCCCCAGTGCCTACTACCATATTTCGGAGGATAAAGCCAATTTACTGATGAGCCATGCTTGCCTCAGTCGGATATTGCGATATGGTTCTCAAGTTGCTATATCCGCAGACAAAATCCAAGTGACCCCATTTCTCCGTCATAGTGCTCGTTATTGGTTCATATATATTAAAGCTATCGAGAATATAGCACCCGCACCACTCTCTAACGCTTCTCTCAAAGTCCTGGAGCTGGGCCAAAGTTGGCTAGATATACATAACCCTGATGACCCTGACTGGAATAGGCCTCTGGGTTCTAGAGTTTACCCACCAGCAATCTACTATTCCTCATTGTTAAATTTGGTGGTGCCCTGTAAATTGCTGGTCGATAGGAAGGAGGATGCAGTAAACGTGGATGCTCAAGGTGGCTGTTATGGCAATGCACTACAAGCAGCTACAATTCGAGGGAATGAGTCGGTTTTGCAGCTTCTCCTCGAGCGTGGGGCAGATGTGAATGCTCAGGGTGGGGAGTATGGTAATGCACTACAAGCGGCGGCATCGGAAGGAAAAGAATCGGTTGTCCAGTTTCTCCTCGGTCATGGGGCAGAGGTCAACGCCCCAGGTGGCATTTTGGGTAACGCACTACAAGCAGCTGCACGCAGCGGGCAGGAATCGGTTGTGCAGCTTCTCCTAGACCGTGGAGCAGAGGTGAATGCTCAGGGTGGCCATTATGGAAATGCACTACAAGCAGCTGCACAAAGCGAGAAGGAATCGGTTGTGCAGCTTCTCCTTGAGCATGGGGCAGATGTGAACGCTCAGGGTGGCCGTTATGGCAATGCCCTGCAAGCAGCTGAACGGCTGGGGGCCGATTCGGTTATACAGCTTCTGTTGAAATATGGGGCTGAGAGAAAGATCTGAATATGGCCTGTGCGCTGCAGCACGAGTAGTTTCGGTAGTGACGAGGTTGTCGGTAGTTTAATTACTTGAAAAGGATAGTTTGCTAGGGAATATCGATTCTTTGAGTTATTCCTTTCCTGTCCTCCTGATCCCTAACCCCTCGTTTTTCCTCTTGTCCAGAAACTCCAGAACAAAAGAACCCCCCCCCCCCCCAACATTCCGGAACCTCTGCGGTCAGCCATAACCCACTACCCTTCGTCCGCAACCTACCAACCTCTGCGATCTAGCAGCGGGACCTGGTATAAGAAATTCCCACTCTCAAGCCTTTCCCAAACTTTAGCTTCGCAAATCCCCAGGAGGAAGCAGCCAATATTCTCTTTACCCCTACAATCTGTAGGCTCCTAAGGACAGAGCAAAGTGAATGCCATAGTTCACCCTCTCCTCCACGATCTACCCAAAGCTTCGACGAGTATTTCGCGGATAGTGTGAAATATAATGGAGCTGGTCCAAGCTGGCAGATGGAGTTTTTTTCCTACGGCCTATGTCCAGGGACTCCTGCGTTTATCGTAAGAGTTCAGGGGGCTAGGATGGCGGCAGCTGGTTGTATTTCTTTTCAGGAATCATACTTCATCACTCGCCATCTTTCAGCAGCAAAGTACAAATTGCTCGGGAGCTGGAGCAGACAGAGACTGAATTAATGGTAGCCGCACAAATTGTTGTTTTAGCTGCCGGGGGCTCTGTTGCAAGACACCCCTACTAGCCGATCCTGTTCCGAGCCCTTTGTCTGATGGCTTATCCTCAGTTGCGAATATCAATAGCTTTTTTTCATACCCAAGGGTCTTTACGGGTGTTGATTGGATAAATCTGCTAGTATTTAGAGTCTAAACCCTAGTATGATACCCTGCAGTAGTTCGGCATATGTACAGGACTGGAAGCTTTGATAAGGCAACTATCATACTTTTGGGTTTGAGTGCTCTTCCCGAGGGATGTTTCAACAGCTCTAGACTCTAGAGAAACTGTTAGAAAAGATGATTGCGCGTCCAAGATACAATGTCATTATGTCTCTTATTGCTCTCATTCTGTGTTTGCTCGATGGTACCACTACATACATTTCCTTTCTCTCATCTTTCTCTCCTTCTTCTCTTTGAGAACAATAGCAAATCAATCAAGATCTTCTTCTTCTCTGATTCCGAATATCCATCGATAGTTCCAACAGGTTATGAGCCCGGGATTGACGCAAACCAATTCCACTGCCAAAAGTTACTCATCCTTAACGTCAAACCTCCTTCTTGTCTTCCCAATATTCCTACTTTTTCTTCACCTTGCCTTTGCACTTACTCTTATCTTAATTGCCCCTTGTCGACCGCTATCCCTCCGCCTAACATCATGTCGGACCTCTCCAATTCCAGAAATTCATTTAATTCTAAGTTTGTTGGTACAATCGCTCACCTAGATCACCTCAATTACAACATTTGGTGCCCCAATGTTCAGATTCACCTTGAAGCCATTCAAGGGTTTGGCCTTGTTACCGGTGAATTGAATACACCTATACTCTTAGAGGATGGATCAAACGATGATGAAATACAAGAATTCCAAGTTCTTGAGGCAAAGGTGAAAGGATTTCTTCTTGCTACTTGCTCGTTACCGGCTAGAAGATATCTTGCTAGTATAGCAACTCCCCAGGAAATGTGGACTATATTGAAGGAGCGCTTTGACAACACCGCTTCAACCAAGGGAAGACTCTCTATTCGAAAGCAGTTCTATACCACCAAGCCGATCCATGGTCAACCTCTAAGCAACTTTATTTCTACACTTCACTCGCTACAATACCAACTTACAGGAACGGACCATGCGATCGATGATGAAACCTTCAAAGACCATTTACTCCAATCTCTACCCTCATCATATAATACCTTAGTGGAGATTATCCAGGAACGTGAAAGTTCAATTACGGTTGCAGAAGTGATCCATAAAGTCTTGCAAGCAGAAATGTCGAAGGCAAACAAGGACCTGATGCAGCTGGGAGAGCAGGAAGGTAGAAATTCAAATACCATACAGGAAGGTTCAGGATTGCTTTCAGAGAATACGCCTGGTCGGAGATCCTATCGTGCCAGTAGACAGGGCCGCCGGGGATTCTCCAATACTACTACGGCTAAGCGATTTTTTCGGGAGCCATATGCTCGACCATTTAATGGAAACTGTAACAGGTGTGGCCGCCGAGGCCATAAGGCTGTTTCCTGTTCTCAAAGATCAAGCTCTTTACAGCCTCTCAATCTACAATCAGTCCAGTGCTTCTCCTGCGGTGAGGAAGGACATGGAACAAGAGGCTGTCCTTACGCTAGCCTGACTCAGTCTCAGGCAGCAAAGGGCAGAAGCTGTTTTGACAAATGGTTAGCAGCTACCCGAAGTACAGTTGCAGGACCGGGGAATGTACTACAAGCGTCAGAAACTCAAAAGCTTGATCCTCCAGGCCCCGGCCCCTCAAATTCCCTTTGACTAGCCGACCGACTTGAAGACAAATATAGAGTTGGCTTGAGTCTATATTGCAAGATACCGGAACGTGATTTTTGCTTTCTTTCTGTCTCTCCCTTTATTACCCCTTCTGCTTTTTCTTCTTCGAATCCTTTTATCTCCCAGTTCTCATTATTCCAATGGATTCTTGACTCTGGTGCATCGCATCATATGTGCAACTCCAAGTCTCAGTTTCTTAACCTAGAAAAACTCCCCAACAATTTACCTATTCGACTTGGTGATAAAACTCTAATTATTGCCACCCATGGTGGCCAACTCCGCCTAGGAAGTCTTAGCCTGAATGCGCTCTATGTTCCACAATTTCGGCTCTCTCTTCTTTCTATTGGTCAACTGGATATGATTGGCCTCAAGGCCGTATTTATGAATCATTCTTGCCTTATTACTAAGGCAGACTCGGATCGTCTTAGTACAAAGGATACTCGTATCATACTTCAGGCTACCTATGTTGATGGTCTATATGTCCTGGATACCTCCGAGTCTACTCTAGCTAGAGAGGACTTGGAAAATACTGATAATCTCAATCTGGTGTCTGATTGTGAAGCAACTGGGAAACCTGAGGTGCTGTTTTCCCAAACTAAATTACCCAAAGATATTTGGCATCGCCGGCTTGCACATCTACATCCGGCGGCAGTCAAGAGAATTGTAGGAGTTGCGCTTGACTCTAAACCAAAGGAAATTGCAGATCTTGATGCAATAGGGGTCCTGGACTGTTCAACCTGCGTCCTATCCAAGCAGCGAAAAAGAAGAAGTCAGATACCTGCTGAACGGTCTCAGAGTCCATTTGAGCTCATTCACTCCGACACTTGTGGCCCCCTACTACAATCAAATGGAGGCTCCAAGTACTACATTCTCTTTATTGATGATTATACTCGCTTCGTTTTCATCTATTTCTTAAAGGCCAAAAACTCTAAGGCTTGTCTGAAGTCCTTTGAAAATGTGCTTAAGTATTTGGCTACCCAATATCCTCAGTACTCGGTGAAAAGGTTTTGTTCAGACAACGGCCGCGCTGAATATGATAATGAGCAATTTCAAAACCTACTTACCAGAAATGGAATTGTCTTTCAGCCCTCTCCCCCATATACACCGCATATGAATAGTATTTCAGAAAGGATGATTCAAACGCTGAACTCCCGTGCTCGCTCTCTCCTTATTGATAGTCATTTGCCAATGACCTTCTGGGCAGAAGCAATTAATACTTCTGTTTACCTTCATCGCCGGTCTCCTACATCCGCATTGGAAAACAAGTCACAACTAGAGGTTCTCTGTCCGGAGGCACCTGTTACTTTACAGCATTTACGACGCTTTGGGTGCTTAGCATACCATCGTGTACCAGATACAGTTAGGACTTCTAATGAAGTCAAGTTTACTCCACGCTCTCTTCCATGTATGATGATTGGATATGGTGAATCAACAAAGATTTGGAGACTATGGGACTTTAGAGGAAACAATGGAGCTGGGCGCCCTATTCACAGTTCTAGTGTTGTATTCTGTGAGATTGAGAATGCAATCTCTTCATGCTCAGGAATTTCGCCTCCTGCGTCCGAGACAGTTCTCTTACAACCTCCACTTTTTGAATCAGAAAAGAGTTCAACAGGCTCTTCCGGTTTGAATACCTTTGATCCCAAGCTCAATCTACCAGTTGAGCTTGAGCAACCGTGCGGCACTCCTGAGCTTGACTTGCTTGCGGTTGAGGATCATAGAGGTCAGTTGAATAATTTCTCCTTGTCTCGAAATAGTAGACTTGGACTTCAAAAGATATGTTCTTTTTCTCTTTCTCTTGCATTATTTCTCTTTAATATCTATTCTATTTCCTGCCCATCAAAAATAAAAGGTTGCTACTATCTCTCTCTTGTAGCTCGTCCCTGTTTAGTACAGGTAGAAGATGGCTCCTCGTCTCTGATCTTGCCTCTATCTGCGTATAGGCGGAAGATAGTTCTCTCTCTCTAGTCATGACTCTCTCTGTGTGGAGGAGAAACACTACTGTCTCTCTCTCTTCTAGCTCTTCACTGTTTCCGTACAGGTAGAAGATAGTTCGCTCTCTCTGATCTTACCTCTGTCTCCGTATCAGACACAGGCAAAGATGTATTCTCTCTTACAAACCACTCTTACTCTCTCTGTTGTCGGTTTTGTTTCTACTGGGTTGAAAGAATACCTGCATTGCTTTATTCCTATTACTATATTATAGTAAAGACATGACTTCTAATACTTTAAATATAGGAGATCAAGATCTAGAGATTGATCCCGCTCAGGGCAATAAGCTATCTCCAAGTCCTACGGAGGCATCTATTCAAGCAGAAGACGTAATTAAAGAGCCAGCCAGTCTTGTGGATGAGGAGATTAATGAAGTCTCTATTCCACGGCAGTCACGCAAAAGACCAAGAGATCTCCGGAACTACAATATCTTAAAGCGCGTTCATGATGAGTTTGTAAGAGAAAGAGAGCAAAGACAACTCAACAATGCTGAGGTTGGATCGGTACTTGCAGTGCAAGTAAACTTGATGCTTGACGGTATAGAACTACAAGATCCAAGGACGTTCGAAGAAGCCATGACTTCCGATCATGCATTGGAGT